GTAGCACATATTGAACAAACGAAGATTGTTCTACAACAGGACGAAATACTTATTGTGATTATTTCTGTACATTTTGATTTGTAATTTAAAACATACAACACTAACACTTACCTCGTCAAATTTACTCTCGACGACTCCATATTAATTAAATTACTACTAAAATGATGGTAAGTAAAAGGTGCTGGTATTTTCAAACTCTTAGTCATCATTAAATCAAATTAACGTGATAGTTCTAATCGTTATCAACTTAAAATTTAAATCTAACGGCAAAACTTACTTGCGCATGTCATTTAAACAGGGAGTCACCTGGCCTAATATGCGCTAGTAGAGGTGCCCACCTGTCTGTCACTGATTTGTCAAAACAGACGTTATTTCCCGGTTAAGTTTTGGTGTTGAGCACAGGCGTTGAGTGAGTTTGAGTTTCGCTTTGTTGTGAGTGTTTTTTTACGAAATTAAGTGTAAATCCAGCATGTCTGAAAACTCAGAAGCTGGGGCCTCTGAAAGCCACGAGGCGCCAGAAAATATGGACGACTCTGATGTGGTTACGATGACTTTGAACGATGTTCTGGAATTTGAGGATGAAATGATTGAGAATACAGCCGCAGTTTTGGGGGCTGCGAACGATAAGAACTGTTCCTACAACGAGGTAAGTGATGTGAAGAACTACTCGGTTTTTTTACTTTTCAAACGGTCAAACGACTTTGACTTAACTGAACACTGAAGAGCGAATTTACCTTTTGTGCTACTCATTTGGAAGTTCACCCCAGTTTTTTTAATGCAGGGGTACTTGAAGCGCCAGGCACTGTACTCTTGCCTGACATGTATTCCCGAAGCCAAAACAGACCCGTCAATGGCTGGCGGCGTGTGCTTGGCCTGCTGTTTTCATTGCCATGATGGTCACGATCTGATTGAGCTTTACACGAAGAGAAACTTCAGGTGTGACTGTGGGAATGCGAAGTTTGCAAATAGCGGCAGTAAATGTACGCTTTGCGACAGCAAAGATGAAGCCAACGAGCTGAACAGCTACAATCAGAACTTCTCGGGCACTTACTGTGTCTGCCATCGTCCTTATCCAGATCCCGAAGATCCTATTCCGGATGAAATGATCCAGTGCATTATCTGCGAGGATTGGTACCACTCCAGGCATTTGGGCGTGGAAGTACCCGAGGATAACTTTGCTGGTAAATTGAATGATCCTGAACCGGGTGTTGGTAAAGGCTTAAGGTTCCTGTTGCTGGATTTTCAGAAATGACTTGTGCAATGTGCATTAGCAAGCATGAGTTTTTATTGCATTACGATGGCTTGACTACAACGAAACTCAGCAACACTGATGAACAATCTGAGGTTGATGTCACAGCAGAAGAAAATCTGAATCGAGCTCCGCTAACTGGTACTTTATGCACTAAACCAAGGGGCAAATCGGAAAAAATGGTCACCAAGTTCTGGCTAGAGGTAAGGAGGCTCAGTTTATCAGTTGCTTTGCAATTTCCGTATATTTTTCTCTAACATCAGACGACTTGGAGAAAGCAATTGTGCACCTGCGACAGCTGTTTGAAAATGTACGAGCAAGAAGATGTAGCTTTTCTCTTGGACAATGAAGATCCGGTGCATCTCTATGAAGAAAAGAGCAAAGCCAAAGCGCACGCTGTTGTGGAAGATCAGAACAAACAGCTGTTGAACTCGATGGATCGGGTGCAGATGATTGAGGCCATCATTGGATACAACGATCTGAAGGAAAATTTAGGCAACTATCTGAAAAAGTTCGCTGAAAACAAGAAAGTCGTGCGAGTGGAGGATATTGAGGAGTTTTTCGAGGGCATGAAAGCGCGCAAGAAGAAGAAGGTGGAGATGACATACAGTTGCCGTTAGTGGCCGCTTATCAACTCATTATTACGTCGCTTTTATTCAAAAACGCAAATATGAAATTATGTAGAGTTTGAAACAATTATTATACTTAGTCCACTGTATAATAAGTATTATTTTTTATCCCCAAAATTGGTAAATCATCTGTGGATTGGGGTTACCACCTCTAGAACATTTGGTAAGTAATTATGTTAAAACTAGTCTTTAAAATATTAAACATAAATATACGGCAGATAGGGAACTGCGTTTAATACATGTTATTGCCCTTCTTCGCTGCCACTGGAAGCTTTTCGCCTGCCAGGAACGGGTTGGGATTGGTCTTCATTTTCTGCAATAGTAAATAAATAACACAATCAAAGGAGTCATAGGAAGTTTTTCAACTACCTAAAATCTAGGAAGGATACAGGGAGTCTCCATATAATGTTTTGTCAAAGAATACTTTTTGTGGGGAGTTTAGAATTTTTCAAAAGTTGGGAAGCCCAAACAACACTTTTGCATTTTGCATGGTTTTGCATCTTGTGGTTTTTTTGTTAGAAGCAACATTTTTGAGAAAGTTTGCAAAGTGTAACCGAATACATAAGGAAATTCTTCTGAAAGTCTTGTGCAACCACAAGTTCTACTTTGAAAAAACCTATCCCTACACCTAACATGCAACAAACCGCAATGCGAAATTTGCACTCTTTATAGACGATACATCACACTGAGTATTCGGATTTATTTCATTTATATCGGACTAAATTTTGATTTTTGCGCGCTTTGTAGACGTTGATGTAAAAACAAAGGGTTTCCCCAACTGTACCCTCATCTTTAAAAATTTGAAACTTCTAAGAAAAAGGAAACTGCGTCGCGAAACTTTCACATTCTACAGGGTGATTCAAAATTGGCGTCATTCCTCTGGAAGTGTTGTCTGGCGCTGTTATAGGAGTACAGAAAATAAATTAATTGTTAATAAAAACTGAGCAATTTGCAAAAAACTATATCAGAAATACGGCAGCAATGTTTTTCAAGGTAATCTGCCTAATTAACATTACGCAAATACCTGTGGCTTCGTAATTATTTAAAACTCCGGTAACCATGGAATTATACAGACTGACAATAAGATAGACAAGGATAAACGGTAAATTCAACAAGATTTGTTGACGAAATGTCAACCTGTTCTCATAACCTCGAATATTAGTGTTTAAAAATAAACCATACAACACCAAACATTTGAATGGTTAACTCCAAACAAGCTAGTGCCTGTGTAATCTCCTTATTGTCTACTCTTATCAAGCAGCTTCTCGTATTCAGTTAATTAACTCCTGCTCCATTTGTATCTCCTTGTGCTGTGTGTATCGTACAAACGTGGTAGGAATGTAGC